GGCAGAATATTAAATGATCCAGGAAGTATTAAAAGAAGATGGAAGGAATATACTGAGTCATTATATAGAAAGGAACTGGCATATACAGAAGAATTTAATGAAATAACATATGAGCAAGAGCCTATGGTGCTGAAGAGGAAGTTTAGAGTAAAAAAATACATTGTTGTTTGATGGTGGTGTTTTGTGCTGTTGATGTTGGAACTGACTCATAGCTGACCCTCCGGTGGGTTTTCAGAGATTGTCCATCCTCCTTCTGCAGAACAGCTGGTGAATTCAAACTGTGTGCCTTTGGGATTGCAGTACAGCTTTTTACCACGAGGCCACCAGAGCCCTTAATTATGATGATGATGATAATAACAACAACAATACAACATATATAAAAGAAACTTCTTGTTGTTGTTTTGTGCCATCAAGTCTCTTGCGACTCATAGCGACCCTATGTACAACAGCTCTGAACCCTGCTCTATCCTGAGCCAACCTTATTTTCTCTGACACACCTGCACAATTACTCCTGTCACCGAGTCAATCCATTTCATAGAGGATCTTCCTCTCTTGCGTTGTCCCTCCACCCTCCCAAGCATGATGTCCCTTTCCAAGGACTGATCACTCCTTGGAACATGTCCAAAGTATGTCAGACAAAGCTTCAGAATCCTTGACTCCAAGGAGGAGCCTGTCTTCACCCTCTCTAGGATGAATCTGTCTGTTCTATCACTCGATGGTATATTCAACACTTTTCTCCAACACCACAGCTCAAAGTCATCAATTCTCTTTCTATCATCCCTCGTTACTGTCCAGCTTTTTGATGCACAGGAAACAATTGCAAAGACTAAGGCCTGATCAGGTACACCTTAGTCTCCAGACTGACATTGTTGCTCTTCAGTACTCTGGAGAGGTCCCGGACAGGAAACTTGCCCAATGCAATTCGTCTTTTGATTTCCTGACTGCTGGTACCAAGATTGCTACCTGTGGAGCCAAGCAAACTGATGCTGTTAACAATCTCAATCTCTTAACCATCCATCATGAGGCTGCCAATCGGCCAAGTGGTGAGAATCTTTGTGTTTTTGATATTGAGCTTCAATCCATGTTGAAGGCTGCAGTCCTTGACCTTCTGCAGCAAGCGGTTCAGGTCCTCCTCAGTTTCAGCAAGCATGATTGTGCCATCTGTGTAATGCTGCTTGTTGATTTGTCTTCTCCAATCCTGATGCCACACTCCTCGTAGAGCCCAGCCTCCTAGAAGATCTGTTCTGCATATAGATTAGAAAGGTATGGAGATAGGACACATCCCTGGCGTATACCCTTCCTGATTTTGAACCTGTTAATCTATCCGAAGCACTTAATAGATATTCCAGCAATCCTCCATCATATTCCTGAATGGAATATTTATCTTTTCCCCTCCTCTTTCCTTCTCTACCCACTCTCAGAATTAAAGAAGGTCTCAGAAGCAACTTAGTCCCAGCAACTGAGCTTTGAATATAGTTTAGGAGCTACTTTCAGCACCTTCTTACTACTCTTTACCTAAGGTACCAGGTTTCTGTCTTCTGTTTAACTGGGAATCTCTCTTCATCCTTAAACTTCATCTTCCCTGTGCTACTGACATAAAAGCATGCAGTTCAAATCTGTCACATGCTATCAGGCAGAAGTATAGGCAATCTCCTACCGTGCAATTTACCACCTCTGAAAACTCACTGGAGGGTCAGCTATGAGTTGATTTGGCCTCAATGGCAAAGAACAACAAATAAAAATTAAATAATATAAAATAAAAATTATTAAGACATTATGACCACCAGAGGGAGCCGGAGCCTTTCTTACAAATGAAAGCACCAACCATTTTTAATGCTTCAGTGCCTCTCAGTACATCAAGGAGTACACCACGTACACCTACATGGACGAGCAGTTTCATAAAATAGGATTTTTTTCCCCTTAATGATTAAACACGACTGTCCTGACAATATTGTTTAAACGTGCACTGGACATAATTGTATTTCTTAATATTTTGCTGAATGAAATCCAATCTATTTTAGCTTAGTATGTCTAGTAGAAAGAAAGGTTTTGTATTTTCTAGCACTGTGTGCTTAATAAACATAGCTAACAAATGATATGATTTTCTAGCTTATCACTAATGGAAATCAGAAGTAGTAACAATACCACAGTAACCTTTAGAGGCTATTTCTATGTGGATAATTATACAGGCATTGCAGTAGGAATTGAAGAATATGAGTGTAATAAAGAACAAGGAACAAAATTTAATCACTTTCGTCAATGCTGCTGTAACAATGGTCCTCCCTTCAACATTTTTGTAGCAGTATTCCACTAAGAAAGCTGCAGCGATTCCTCAGCTGTCATAGAACCAATTTCTAACTCCAAGGACTTCGGCCTCGCCCTACTCTCTTCACTTCTCACCCTCTCCTCAACGAAAGAAAAGAAAACAATAATCAAATACCAAGTAGTGTTGTGTTGCTAGAGAGAAACTAACAGAGGCCTGGAGAACTTCACTAATAACAGCAAGTGACATTAGTTTAAGATTTATTATATGACAGCATTTAAGTGACCACATTTAATATTCATCAAAATCCTGAAAGGTGTATTGCCCCCTTTTGTATAAATGAAAACTGGAAGTTCATGGAGATAAGGGGGTGGTAGTTGTGGCCTCTGAGCTGACAATGTCTCACAGCGACCCTAAGAAGAACAGCTCTGAGCCTGGCCCAATCCTGTGCCATCCTCATGATTTCTGTCCTGCTCAAACCCATGTGGTAGTCGCTGTGTCAACTGACAGGAGAGAGGTAATCAGCTAAAGCTGGTAGCTCTGGCATGTGAATGTAAACATGCCAACAGCACTCAGCCAGTATATTCGAAATAGGAATAAACCTCAGGATTGGGTGTCACAGATCACACACAAGGCAGAGCTCACTTTGTTTCCTAAAGAATTTCCGTCATCTTGTAGAGTTCTAGCACTTTTATCTACTTGCATGCTTTATACTTTTCACTTGACAAATTATCTGGCATGTCAACAAAAGCCTTGGTTTCTTTCCATCTCCATCCTGTCCAACCTTGCCCTTCTGCGTAAAATAGTCTGGCCATTCACCCAGTGGTTTGGTACCACGCCTAAAAGTCATCCATGATTCCTCCCACAATACTAACCCCTCAGTTTTACTTCCAAGATAGGTATCTGGGTGGTGGTGATAGATGCTTTTGAGTCGATTAACTTTGGGCCTGGCAACCTGACCATTAGGGGGTAATTGTGCTCACACGTGGCATTGCCTAGCAACAGGCGAAGCACGCAAATCCCAACACAGGGGTGTAATGGATCACTCTCTGACTACTGCTTACAAATGTTAATTTGATGAGAAGATAGTCACATCTGGCCCCACCTAGGACAAGCCTTCAGAGAGTTCTGCACAAATTGGGAGAAGCAGCAGGTATTTCACCAATAGCTAGGCTCTAGACAAAGGAGTGTATTCCTATTTATTTGGCTAAATAGATAGTTTTGGAGAATATAGATCTATGACGTTCACAGCCTTGTTTTGTGACAGATTGAAATGTTCCAACTTCTAGGACTTCAAGTATTGTCAATGAAAGCCACAAACAAAAGAAGGTCAAGTATGAAATATAAATAGTAGAGTAATTATGGTTGAATTAAAGCACGTTAGAACACCTGGGAAAGACATAGTTCAATTTGCCCTAGCAACTGCTATTTCAAGCTCAGAATTTTTTAATCAAGTTAAAGAAAGAGTCCACATACGAGCGAGATCTGTGTCTGGATCGCCTGTTGTTGGGGTCTGCCTGGTTTTTCTCCTTTTGTCTCCTTAATACGGCTTCCCACTGAGGCGCTGAATCAACCATATCATTCTCCTGCCGTATTCTGGGGAAAAAACCAAATCAAACCATTCAGCTGAAGTTAACATCCACAGGACATGAAGCTTTGCTTTTAAGTTCATTCTGAGCTCTCCTTTAGACATTAAGATGCAGAAATTTTATTATAAGCACCAAAGCTAAGAATGCATCAGCTGGATTAATAGTTAATAAATATTTAAGTGTATAAATACATAATAAGCATAGATACAATATGATAATCTATAGTAATTTTTAGGCTTTTATATTTGACTTAAAAACATCTAAGAGAAAGACTTGTATCAAACAAACTCATTTAAAACATTTCTGTTTTCCCTACAACCAGGAGAAGATAACATAGATGAATGGGATCTTCTAAGACTACTGGGAATATACCCTGAAGAGACCATAGCTGACACCCAAGCAGATATATGCACACCCATGTTTATTGCAGCTTTGTTCACAATAGCAAGGAGTTGGAAACAACCTAAGTGCCCATCAACAAACGAATGGCTAGAGAAGCTGTGGTATATTCGCACAATGGAATACTATGCTGCATTAAAAAACAAGGAACTCATGCAATATTATTCAAAATGGTTGACTCTGGAGAACATTATGCTGAGTGAAATATCCCGGTCACAAAAGGACAAATATTACATGATGCCACTGTTGTAGAATGGGACTGTCCTTGGGGTTGGAGAGAGACTGAGTAAGATGGGTTCAATAATGTATACTGCACTGAAACAGAGGAGGGAGAAAACTGTTTAAAAGAGATATACGACTAGGTACTTCTGTCATCACAGGAGACTAGAGCGAGGGCTACATGGTGGAGGGGACCTGGGGGAGGGTTTGTAAAACAATGAAAGAATCTTTTCTTTTACTTTTCCATAATTTTTGACTCATGTACTTATAGCTTGTTAGTCAAATTTGTGTCTTCTAGGTTGCAACACCCCCATGATACATCTTCAAGGATATGAACATGTACGGCCAGGCACAATCAATAAGAGTGCATCTAAATTCCAAAATCAATCTCCATAATAGTCTATGTGTTTCCTACTGCCATAGGGGCCCTTTAGAGTAGTGAGAGAAGATCTTCACCCTGAAACCCACAGCGTCCCTTTTCAGCAGGAAGTAGCTAAGAGAATACGCCATCCCCTTTTCCTTATGCATCAAGGTGAAGTCTCTCTCAGGGAGGAGTGATAGGGAATGGCAAAGGACACACCAACAAAGAGATTAATCAGAACTGACTTTGACAAGCACTGTGGCAATTGGACAATTAAAACAGACATTCGGATGGCGGGGAAGAAGAACAAACTGGGGAGGAGGGTGGAGAGAATGGTGCGGCAATGAAGAAGTGAAAGCCCAGAATCCCTGTGAATGTTCATTGAAACTAATAAAATTTAATAATAATAATAATAATAATAAATTGACAGATGGGACCAGTCAGCTTAGGGTGAATGCAGTCCTGGGCACTGTGAGGTAGATGTATAAACAAAACAAAACAAAACAAATTTCTGTTTTCATTAAAAAACAGTGCTATATACTATAGAGTCAATTATAATTTATCAAATAGTTTTTTTAAAATATACTGATTAAAATAGCAATAAACAATTTTCTTTCGTAATGTTCTTAAAATCCACACTAATTGTCAAAGTTTTCAGGAAAAACAGGTATCAGATATAATTTTTTTTAGAAAACCACAGATGCCCCAAGTTACTCATGACGGCATAATGTATTGGTAGTCAAGTAGATATATAATATTCAGTGGTGGCTATGCACATGTGTAAGAGGCACTGAGGGTTGTGAACTCCGACAAGCAGAGAACGTAAATGAGGAATGTACACAAGGAAATTCAGGGAGACCTGGGGGAACTGGAGAATATGGCTGGCATTTGCTATGGGAGATCTGGGGCCGATACTGAAAATTTGCATTTTTTAAAAGATATTACAGAAACCTGGATTATTTTAAGGAAATTATTCCAATTTTCAAGTACTGACAACTAAGTCTAAGTTTAAGATATTATTGGTGGTGGTGGTAGTGTTGACTGACTTCGAGTCGAGCACGACTCATAGCGACCCTATGAACAAAAAGGCCTGAAGCCCCTCTACAGCTATCGACATTTATCAAAGTTCATAGAGTTTCCGGAGGCATGTTGTCTAGAAAGTGGATGTCACTCCTCCTTCCAAGTTTAAGATACTACATGGGTCTAACAGACCTTCACTACAGAAAGACAAAGAACATAACCTTCAATATGGATTACAGCTCAACATCAACATGAAAACAAAAATCTAATTGTCAACATTATGATACATAAAGACTGAAATTGTCAACAATTTAATCTTACTTGGATCCACACCATTGGTACTTGTAGTCATGAGATCGGGAGATCTACTGGGAAAGTCTGCTATTAGGGACCGCTCTAAATTACTTAGGAGCAATGATGTCAATTTGAAGACTAAGGTGCATCTGATTCAGGTCATGCTCTTTTCAATCACTTGCTATGCAACTGAGAGATGGACAATAAATAAAGATCTGATGATGCCCTTTAAGTCTGGTGATGGAGGAGATTACCGAATATTCCATGGACTGCCTAAAGTACAAATAGATATGTCTTGGAGAAAGTTCAGCCAGAGTGCTCCTTGGAGACAAAAAAGATGAAGTTTTATCCCACCTGCTTTAAGCAAGTTGTTAGGAAAGGCTATTCCTTGTAAAGGGACATCATGCTTGGAAAGATGAAAGCTCAGTTGAAGAAAGGAAGACCCTTAATGAGAGATATTGATAGATAGAGTGACTATAGCAGTGGGTTCAAGCATGTAAGAAATGATGAAGATGTCACAAGATAGGACAGCGCTCAGATCTGTTGTTCATGGGGTCACAATGAGTCATACTCGACTTGATGACACCCTAACAACAACAACAAAGGAACCCTAAGGAGCTCTGCTGACTTAGTGAAAAGGAGTCACTCTGGCAACCCAAAGGCAAACAGTTTGAATCCACCAGCTGCTACAAGAGAGAAAGATGAACATCCTCCTCTCATGATTTTTTGCCTCTGAAAACCTCATGGGGGTAAGTCCAACTCAAATGATTCATAATTACAAGAGTACCCACGGGATGATAGGTGTCCCCAGCAATGGTACAAGGACACCTACTGGAGGATAGGTTCCAATTCAATGGTACGCAACAACAAAGGAATCCTAGCAGCACAATGGTTCAAGCTCTCGACTTCTAACCTAAAGGTCAGTGTGACGCTATCCACCAGTGGTTCCACAGGAGAAAAAAAAAGTTGGTGATTTGCTCTTGTAAAGATTACAACTTAGAAAACTCTATGTGGCCATTCTAGTCTGCCTTCCTGAGCAGTTAGGAGTTAGAACAGACACAGTAACATACAACCATGGCATATGGACCTTACAAAACCCAACCATTCAACCTTGTAGGTTAAAATTGTAATGTATGGAGTGTGAACACTGTCTCAAAATGCCCTACAATGGTGCTGTGAAACTGTGTTACTTTCAAAAATAATAGAAAATATCTTACTTGAATATCTGACTTTTCATTTACGTAACTCTTCAAAAGATGCTTGCATCTTCATTTGTTCACAAGCCTGTGCTCCTAATGTGTGGAAGGATAGCCCAGTTCTGCAAAGTAGTTGTCTAGTGTGCAGATATGCTTTCAGGCAAACAGGGATGACAAGGCACGTCTGGAGTCCTTTTCTTCTCGGAAAAACTTTCGGACTTCATTTGATTGCACTTTGCTTTACTGCGCTTCACAAATAAAAATTTATTTCTTTTTTCATTTATTTTTTAACAAACTGGAGGTCTGTAACAGTGCTGAGCAAGTTTATCGATAGCTCTGTGTTGAGGTACCTCTGTGTTGGTAACCCTGGGTTAGGCCAGTATATTGGTACCCATTTTCCAATAACATTGTGTGAATTTCATGTCTCTGTGTCACATTTTGTTAGTAGACTGCTCACTCACTGATGTCAAGTCGATTCCAAATCACAGCAGCTCTCTATCAACTTCCCAAGACTCTCCATGTTCACAGGAGGCTACTTCATCTCTCTTCTTTGGAGTAGCTGGTAGAAGTCAAACCACTAACTTTTTGGTTAGAAGACCTAAGCCACCAGAACTCCTTTAACAGACTACAAAACAGAACCAACCCACTGCCACTAAGTCAATTCTAACTCAAAGGACTCTGCATCAGGTTCCCAATGTGGTAAATCTTTACAGGAGGACACCAGGCCTATCTTTCTCAAAACGGCTGGTGAATTTGAACTGTGACTTTTCCTTTAGCAGTCAGATATGTTATCCATACCACCAGGACTACCACAGGACATTGTAATTGTTGTTGTTTTATACCACTGAGTCGACTAGAACTCATAGCAACTCTATGACCAACACATCTGAATCATGCCAGGATCTTGCCTTGTCCTCATGATCTCTGATAAGCCCATGCCCATTTGTCACAGTCACTGCGTTGACCCTTCATGTGAAAGGTCTTCCTCTCTCTGGCCCTCCTCCACCTTTTCCAATATGATGTCTTTTCCCAAGAAATGGTCTCTTTGGAAAGCTGGTCAAAGTAGGTGAGACCAAGTTTCACTAACTTTGCCTCTAAGGAACACTGGTTGCAAATGGTGTTTTGACTATTTAAGAGATATTTTGTATCCCACACCAACACCACAGTTCAAAGGCATCAATTAATCTATCATCCTTATTTATTGCAAAACTTCCAGATGCAGAGGAAGCAGATGAAAAGATCATGACTTGGATTGGGTGTACCCTGGGGTCTTTAAACAGACATCCTTGCTCTTTAACACTCCAGAGAGGCCCCTGACAGCAGATTTCCCTAATACAGGACATCTTTTGATTTGACTGCTGCTACTTTGGATATTGACTGTGGAGCCAAGCAAAATGAAACCTTTGACAGCTTCAATGGTTTTCTTCATCTATATGGGTCGCTGTGAATCACAGGTGACTTGATGGCACATAACAACAACTACAGCATGATGTTGCTTATTAGTCCAGACTTAAGGAT